AAGCTTTCAAATATCCACCTACTCCAATATGTTAAAAGAACATTTGAAAGGTCACCAAAATTCCTGATTTAATGATAAATAAAATGCTGGAAAGGATGCAATTTGAGATGTGGAACTAGGAAAGATCTAAACAGTGGGAACCACAATGAAAGGCAACTTGCAGCACCAATCTGTATAGACAGGATTCAGCAGAGGAAATGTTCAAAGGGACATGAAACACTGCCTAGAGTGAAACAGGACCAATACTGGGATCAGCCACTATGGGACAACATCAACTGAATGGGCAACAAGTTAACTTTCAGTAAGAGAAGAATCATCTGAGGAAGGCACTCAGCATCAAGAGAGGATCTATAAAATGCACTGTAAGTACAACGTGAAGGCAGCACAGAAACACCCCAGGCTAATGCAAAGTCTGTTCTTACAAACCAACTGCTAATAAAGCAAACAAGTTCAGTTTAAACACAGGCACTGCTTCCTGTTTGGCATGAAGTAGATTAACAAATATTTAGAGGCAAAAGGTAAGAAGAACTTCAGATCAGCTTTTTTCTCCTTCTGAAAATCTAATACACAAAATTAGGATAAAATTAGACCCCGTGCTTTAAAACGAGATTTCATTTTGGTCCATGTTCTCAAAAGGAAAATAATACAGCAAGGCCATTTTGTTAACACATGCCTCATTTTCTGCTAGAATGCAAAGTCACTCCAAACTGAACAGGCAGCTGGAAATTACAGTTTTGCTCCCTGTTTAAAGAGACATTGGTAGCAGCTCAGCTTCCTCTTCCCAATGCCAAGCCTTCCACAAGAGAACTAAAAAAGGAACCATCTGAGGGAGAGGAGAATAAGAGACTATTTTTGGGGAGTTAGTTTTGTACACTCAATCACATGACAGCACTGTAAATGTCTCTCTCCCTCTCTATAAATTACATGCTTTTTTTGAATTCTGCTTGTATACATTGTTCTTTGAGGAGATGTCTCAGTGCTGCAGTTCTGTCTTGTTCCATGGGGTCAGTCACCTTTCCTGCTAACATTTCATGACTGGAAAGCCAATGTCCCAATTCCTGAGTTCATGTTCAGCTTTATATCCCTCAATTAAGTGCTATTTGAAGCTGGAAATAGACAGCAGTTATTTTTATATAATGGTGATACGCCACATCATTTATTTAAATAAATGAAACCATTTATACCAGTCAAAGGGCAACTTTCAGTTAAATATATTATTTCTGAATCAGTTTGTATTACTATTATTTCATAAATTCTGCAGTACCTGATGATTGCCTACACTGTTGGCATTTTAAATTATTTAATCCTGTGCCTTCCTCCTCCATTCCAGGGGTCACTGCCTGCACTGCCTGCACCCTGAAAACAGAGCTGCTTTCTCCTGATTTATCAGTGATCTCTGAGTTCATCCACACCTACAGCCCTGACACTGTGAACCACATACAGTACAACTTGTTTTAAAGATTAAACTATTTTCTGTAATGGTTTTCTTTCTGCCTTAGGCCACATTTTAAACAGACTATACATAAACAGTATTACTGTTACTCTATGTGTGAGAGAACTGAGATGCCAGCCCAGACCATCCAGAAGGGAAAGGGACATGCCCTCCTTATTCCTGGACACTGGGGAAATTGGAGCTCACACAGCTGAAGAGAAATCAGTTCTCCACCATGCAGAGCTCTCAGTTTATGCTTAAGAAGATTCCCAAAGCCGAGTGAGCCAAAGGAGTTTTCCCAGTGACTAGAAGGTGCCTTGCACACAGAGGTGACATCTGGAGAGTCTTGCAGCTGATTTCCTGTTTCCCTGTGACACCAGGCTGATCCATTTCTGAATTTACTCCTGGCCAAAGCAGGGATACACATGGCTGTCAGTATGGGCTTTTTCAAACTGTTTTGCTGAGATTGCTGTTTCTGTCACCTGGGTGACATTTATTGTCAAATTTCTCTGTCAACATTAACCACTCAATTGAGGGGATTTTTTAGGCTGTTTTTATAGAAATCAGCAAAGGCTGAGAATGAAATGCTGAAAAGGCAGACCCAGTGAAGGTTCAAAAAATATAATTTCTACTTTTCATCACCTCATATACACAAGAATGCTTTCAGTTCTTAAGAGCACATAGACAAGGTAAAAATCTTGGGAAGTGGCAAACAACATCTCAGAGATAGGAAATTAAACATGAAAGATTCAGTAAGTAATCATCCAAAACTGAAAGCAAAGTAAGCAAAGTTAGAAAATGACATTTCTGAGGAACAAATGGTTTAGCATTTGTGTACAAGCCACTAACACAGAATTGGTATAGCTAATGATACATAATTGAAATGTAGGAATATTAATTTAAAATTAATTTGAAATAGCTGTAAGCATCTTAATAAATATGGAAGTCCAATATTAGACTTTTATACCATTTATATGGTATATTAAACTATTATACCTTTTATACCAGCCATGAAAATGTTATTCAACTATTTTTTTAAATCTCTTTGCCTCTTTATTTCAAAAGTAGAATGGACACTTTCTGAAAGATTCATGTCAAGCACAACCAGCAGAATGTTTTCTGAGATGAAGAGACAAGCAGCTGTGCTCAATATAAAGCTCAGCAGAAGAAAACTGCAGGGATTTTACCAGCAGGATAGGCAGAGTATAGAAACATCAAGTGAGCCAACATTTAGGGCAGCTTCTGGCAATGTAGAAAATCTATATGCAATGTATACATTTTTTAGCTATTTGCACAACAGTCAGTGTGTGTTTAACTCACCCACTTGCTGCCAGGACGAACAATACATATTGTGCACAACTGTGCTGTGGATGTAGCAGAACATAATCAAAGCAAAACAATTAATATGTTAAAATAATTGGATAAGGAAGCAGAAATTGGTATCCTTGAATATCTACAGGATAGTGAAATTGAAGACATTTCCCCCAAGGATGAACAAAAGAAACAGCAATGACTCTGAAAAGGAGGTGTTACTCCATAGGAGCACACTGTGGAAATCCAGTCTGAGCCAGTTATAAAAATAGAATTTTTGAGTGGGTCAGAAAGAGCAAAGGGCTAAGGGGTCATAACAGATCTGACCAAAACTTGTGGTTCCATGGAAATGAGGCTCTACACAAGCTTATTTTGGCCCCAAGTTCACTTTGACCGTCATTTTTAGGGGTATGATCAACCAAACCTTGAAAATTTTGGGAAATGTTTGTGTATACCTGTTTTTGAAGTTTGATTGTAACAATGGGCAGCATCATTCCAAGGCCAGGTACAAGGCATTGGCACCACGGGGTGGGGTGAGGGGTTGCTCTTCTGAATATTGTTTATATTATTGTTAAGAAGCTACTCTATGGGTGTCAGTGCTGCTCACAGAGAATGGACACACTGTGATAAGTCAAAATGCTGTGAGGGTGGCAGTCCCTGTCGTGTCTTTTTTAAACAAATGAGAAACCACACCATCAATTACTGCCTCCCAGCACAAGATATGACCAGTGCTAGAAGCTGTTACACCAAATGTAACTATGGCCACAAGTGCTGAAATGGTTGTCTGAGCACATCTTGTTCAGAACTAGCAACAATCCCTTTTACTTTGAGAAATTCCTGTGTAGGAGGAAATTATCTGGGGCAGATGCATATGTCTATCAGAATAATTAGACTGTTTATTGCTTATTTCTTTGTTAGTATGTTCGATGTGAATCTATTCATCTACAGAAATGAGAAGTATAACACCAAGAAACTCTATTAGATATTTATTTGAAAGCATTGCTCTTTATAGAAAGGAAAAAAAGGTAAGTAACTCTCTTCTGAAAGACCTCTGATATGGAGGAACCCTTTGAAATCTTGGCAATGCTCTATCAGCACAATATCTGACAATCTGTCCTGACATAGCTGAGAAAAATCTTCTCATGTTCTTTTTCTAAAAGACCATCAGACTAAGACAGACTAGGCGAGAATGACAGGTTGATCAAATCAGTCAGACAAAACAGAGGGCTCTTAAATATAGCAAGCCTATGTTAATATTCCTTGCTAGGCATTCCAAGGTTTTATTTCATGCATTAGATGACTTGGGAAATGCTGCAGAATTGTGTGCATCTCTGTGTTAATAATCTATCATGTCTTATTACTGAAAAGCCCAGAGTAAAGGAAGAACCTAGCACAAAATATAAAACTTTCAGCGTACATAAAGTGAAGCAGCTCTTGCAAAAAGGACATACATAACACAAGGTATACTTTTACATCTGCTGTAGCTGTTCAGTTACTTTGATTTAACACAATTTCTTTGTGCACATTAAGATAAAAAAAATAAAGCATACTTCTCAGGGAGTAAGTTCAGTATGGAAGTTTCAAGCCCACAGAACCACCTTGCAATTTGCAGACATCATCTACTCATTTCCATCTTTCCCATCTTCACAATTATTGTTAGCCCACACGGGAAGAAATGAACAAACCCAACTACTATGAAATACTCTCAAATATCAATGGTGTCTTTCCACATTTAAGCCTACAAACCTAAAACAACTAAAACAAAAGTAATAAATAGACAAGTTATTTTTCTGTTACAGCTTCTTAGTTGTTTTTCAACCTAGCCACTTGGCTCCCATGCTGTGAAGTTCAGGTATGCATATTACCACTGGGACCCAAAAATATCTCTGGTGTCTCTATTGCTGTACAGTAAATCCCTTTCAGACTAAACAGAGTGACCTAAGAAACTTCTACAACTACTTTCAGGCAGCTGAATATGAAAATTCCGCTAGTCTCCTCCCCTCTCTCACTGGCACATAAACATATAGGGCTTGACTCTTAGTAACTTCAAACACAGCAGGCTAATACTAAGAAGTTTTTAAGAGTTTTGTTAAAAACACCTGCCTTAGTATAATCTAGGGTCATTTTATTACAAGAGTTGTCTTGGTAAAAATACCAAGAAATATCTGTTTCCTTAGGCCAGAGCTCTCTTATTATGACTGGTTCTTGGTTTAAGCAAGCAGTGAGCACAGGAAAAGATTGGGTCCCAGAAGTTTACCTTCTAGTAAGTCTCTTGCCAGACCTGGTTCTGCCCCTGTGGACCGAACAAAGTCTGACAGGACTGCATCCATATCAAGAGTCATGTGATCATTCAGAGGTGCTGCCAGACATGCAGCAGCAGTTGGACTCACTGGCTGGCTAAAATGTCTCCATCTGCCAAGGAGAAGAAGAAAAATGGTTTAGAATATACTCCCAGGTGACATAAACCACATTTTTCATCTATTCCCTAAACAAGACTATTAAAAAAGTTTGTGGCATATTAAAATAAACAGCATTTGTCATCCATCTCTGCCTTAGCCTAGAGCTGCTGGTCACTCACACTGGAAGGTTTTCTCTATCCCAATATTTCATACTTTTGTTGATTTTTCTTATGTGCAGCTCATAAATAGCTTTGCAACTTGACTCCAACTCAGCTAAACATAAGATTGGTTTATTAAAAGCACGATCACCAGATCATTGTCACTGCTCATAAACTGAGGTTTAGCAAGGATTTAAATGTCTAGAGCTGTTTTGCCTTACTAATACTAACACACACAGAGCAGGGCTTAGTATTTGTTCCTTTATTTGCCTTGCCAATACAGCTTCTGTAATTTACAGATTCTCTGCTGGGTCTGGCTGGGATGGAGTTAATTTTCTTCTTTTCTTTTCTAGAACTGTGGCTAAACCAATGTTCATAGTAGCTGATATTACAGTAATTTATGAGGTTTCTTTGTTTTATTTCCTTTTATTGGTGACCACTGCTGTAGCTGCTGAACAATTTTTACTGTGTTTATGAGCAGTCCGTGGGGGACAATCTTAGCAGGGTGCTCTCCTGGTGGCACAATCACCCAGGGACCTGTTAGGAAGCAGATCATGATTTGCCCCAAGTGAAATGTGACAATGTCTCACAAGGGAATTTTTCCTGCCAAATCCACAGCCAACAAAAAATATGTCTCCTCTACTGCATTTTGCATCTTCTTTTCATTCCTGAAAACAGAAACCTCCTCCTTCTAGGCAAGGCTCTTTACAAACATAAAATAAAAATTAAAGCAGTCACACAAGAGGAGTTCATGCTAGGCAAGCTATTAAAACAACTGGAATTTAAAACACAGTCATCCTAAACGTATTTCCATACTTCAACCCTGCCTGCACTGCTGCTGAAATGGTGCAAAGCAAAGAATACAGAAGGAAATTAAACAATACACAAGGTAAGGAAAAGCACATGTTTTACTTTCATGCTTGTATTCACTGGCCAAAGTTTACCTTGAGCTTGAATTGGATTTTTCCTATTGATTCCTCCTCACAGCCTCAGTTGCAACTTTACCTCGTGCCAGGGTAAGGTCTGGCATGGAGATTTTCTATTGGCAGCAGATGATGTTGGTTGGCTCTTGCTTGCACCACAGCTACAGGGAAATAAACTGTGAAGGAAATTGGAATCCAATTAATTTCACTGTCTCCCACATGAAACAGTCCTTTCCTACTTCATGTGTAATTACCTGGTTATACTTAGCCTGAAAATGGAATGCCTTTGCTTTCTTAGACATTGCCTTTTTCTGCAAGTACATATCTCTGCTACAATTCAAACACCATTTACCTTCTGCCTCAGGAGGGTGGAGTCCTTCTCAGCCTCATCCATGGGGACTGGCCACTAAACCCAACTCAGTCCAACAAACTAAACATTTGTGGGATACAAAATCACAGCAACAGAATTGTTACCGTTGGAAGATACTTTTAAGATCAGAGAATCAATGAGGCTTGAAAAGACCTCTGAGATGATCAAATCCAATCCATGACCTGACACCACTTTATCAACTAGACCATGGCAGTAAGCACCACGTCCAGTCTTTTCCTTAAACATCTCCAGGGACTGTGATTCCACCACCTCCCTCTGCAGCTCATTCCAATTTTCATCAAGAAATTCCTCCTGATGTCCAACCAAACCCTCCCCTGGGGCACCTTAAAGCCATGTGCTCTTATCCTGTCACTGTTGCCTGGAAGAAGAGAGTGACACCCATCTCTCCACAACCTTCTTTCAGGCCAGAGAAATAAGGTGCCCCTCAGCCCCTTTTTCTCCAGGCTAAACAACTCAAACTCCCTCACAGCTCCTCATCAGACCTCTGCTCCTGGATACCAATTCCATATTTTTCAGGACTAAGGTAGATTACACTGCTGCTAATTCTACCTACTTCCCACTCTTTTGGCCTCTACACTGTACCACTAGCATGTTTCATATCTTTTGTACTATTTATGCAAGTCTATTATTATGTTTGGGCCACATGAGGAGAGCAGGGGAGGTGATCTTTTCCTCTCTGTTTAGTTCTGGCAAGACTCATCAGGAATATTATGTCCATTTCTGGATCTGTAACACAAGAATGACATGGACATATTGGAGTGAGTCCAGTGAAGGACCACAAACTGCAGTGGATCACATCTGTGCAAGGGAAACACTTCCATAAGGTAATCCTAATGAAAGTGTAGTAACAGAAGGAAAGCTGGAAATATTGAGGAGACTAGTTAAAAAGAAATGCAGATATTTTGGAAAAAGAACTACCTTAATGGATTATGGCCAAATTTGACATCTAAGCTCTGTGTCAACTGAATCTGTTCCAATGCAAATAGAGGACAAAAATGCTACTTTTATTTTTAACAAACACTCATACATAGACGCACTGTACTCAACAGCACTAATCTGTACAAAAAGATCACCAGAAACTGAACACAACTAATTTCTTTAGTGAGTACAAGAAAGAATGAAATTAATCTTAGCCAGCAGGATGGAAACATATGGATCAAACTAAAGGAACCTGCCAGAGATGATACAAAGCATTGGTGCATTTCAGACCACCACCAGAAGTGACTCAGTAGTATAATGAGTGTTAATTTAAAACGCACCAGCTGGGCCCACAAGTACAGTCACTGTGTGGGGGCTGGAGTGCTCATAAGTTTGGGGAGCTGAAGTGTACATCGGCTTGGAGAAGCCAATTCATGAGTTGTCTCAGAATCAGCATTACTTCAGTATTTTCAACAGTAAAAAAAGACATCCTTCTCAGACCAAAGAATAACACCAATCTCTGCATTTATGATGTCACCATCACCTCAAAATTACCACATAGGATCTACACTCCGGAAGCACAGAGCAGAGTTGGCAGGATCCTCTCTGTGCATTTGAACTAACACTGGTTTCTTCCCTATGGAAGTCGTTTGTTCAGCCCTCTAAAATTTAGACTTAAAAAAACAAACAAAACAAGAACAAAACCCAACAGAAGAAGTCTTAAAATATTATCTTTGCCCGAAAACTACTATCAGCTGTGAAAACCCACTGAGATGGAAGCGTAAAAAGTAAGCAAAAAAGAAAATAAATTATAAATTCTAAAGAAGGCAGTGACTCAGAAGGCAGGTGGCTCAGACCCACTTCTCCCCAGATGGATTTGGTCTCTCCTCACCTAAGGAACCATCAGCACCACCTTTGCCCTCAAAGGCTTGTCAAAGCGTTAACACAACTTATATTTCAAATACACACACGAAGTAGATCTAACACAATCATTCACCTCACACCACTCCTCCCATGGGTAACACTACAGACACCTGCAGTTTTCATTTCAAATGTGTCACACACGAGACACAAATGTGAACTGGAACTGAATGGATATTGACACATCTTGGCCATCAAAACACAGGTTTTCACTCACTTTCTTGACAAACTTCTTACCTAAAAATTTTTTTATTTATACAGCGCAAATACAAGAGGCAGTGAAATGGGATAATTTGTTTTATATTATAAGAAAAACAATTTTTAAAATATTTAAAGAGGAGATACTGATTAATTTGAAATGTTAAGATGAGCTAATAGGACTTGAAATCAATTTAGTACAATCTCAGTTATATTTGATCTTTTCTTCTCCTTCAAGTACCTCTCTCTCAAAGCTGAGCCATACTTGGAAGTGAACAGTCTTCACCTGAATCTAAATTTAACTTCTTCAAAAGCAAACAGCTTCACCCAGTTAAATTATATGAAGGGTTTTTTCTCTAAAGAAGCTTAAAGAGATGCACAGGGCTAACTAATGAAGCAAAAGCAACCAAATTAAAACAAACCCCATCCCATGCATCCAGAACAGACACAGGTGACAAAACCAAAGTGAGGAACAGAGAGGAAACAGCAGCCACTGGACAAAGCCTCAGGAAGACAGAATGACTAAGCTGCAACTGAGATCTTTTGCTTTACTAATTTTCAAAGAAAGGCTGAAATAAGCACCATCAATAAGATGCACAGTCTTGGTGCTCTGGGAAACCAATGGAGAGACACCCAGCAATTGCACTAAACCAGCTCCCCCAGGCTATTTTTATGTCCCTGCAGTGTGACAGGGCTCAGGGCCTGTGGAACATCCCTGCTGGCTCCCAGCTGCTCTGGCAATGCACAAAGGTGCAGCCAACTCCCAGGTGCAATGTTCCTGCTGTTTGGAAAGGCAGAAAGACCCTCTTTGTGCACAGTTTGAGATTTTGAAAGTTATTCTTTCTGGCAGGCCACAATTGATGGGAAATGTCATAATTCTACAATCTTAACAGTATAATGAAATTAAACCACCCTTTATTAGTTAAACTATTAAACAGAAATCTATAATTAAACAATCAAATTCAGCGGAGAAGATTTGTTTAGGAGAACAGCAGCTTTAAGGGAAGTGGTAGTTAATGCAGGCTACTTAAGAAAGTGGAGATGGTATTTTTTCTGCTAACTGGATTAAAAGGCATTAGTTGAAGAAGCCAAATCGATGGTAATTACCTAAAGAAAAGGTTACTGTGAACTAGACCTGATGACAAAGTGGGGCATTTATATGTTAAAATGTGGACTCTCAAAACACAGTAAAATTACAAGACAGCATTTGGTGAGGGCTATCTACCTTCTCAAGTCTAAAATATCAGAGTTTTGGAACACTGAGAAGAACAAAAAAGATGAAAAGTAAAAGCTCAAATCAGACATTATTACAAAGGTTTTATCTACACAATGGAACTCAGGAAATTTAACCCAATTAATTTAATTGGATTTGTCTGCATCCAATAAATTCCTTTGCAAACACTTTCATTTGTGAATAAAATGCTGGCCTTAATTTGGTTTGGCTCATCTTGCCTTCGAAGTGAGTTAAACTGAATTCATTGGAGACCACTTTAATTATGAATGGGATAGTGCACACAGGGACTTGGTGGCACTTAAGCTGCCCTCTTTAAATTCCTGCATTTAGTTGATTTGCATCAATTTTCCCTGGTATCTTGTGTAGACAAGTCTTGAACAGACACAGTAGATACAGAAGTGGAAAAAAAAGAGAAAGAAAGAAAGAAAGAAAGAAGCTATGCTGAAGAATCCTCGGCTCTGTGGGAACCATCAAAGAACAGCTGTCCAAGAGAACTGTTCAAGTACGTCAAGTCCAGTTCTAGGATAAATACCATCCAGGTTCAGGGACCAACTAGGAAATATTTTAAAAATGCAGGTACATTTCAATTTTCAGAAATGTTATTTAAAGTGTCTACTATCTGCTTTTGTATTTGAATTATTTCAAGACACAGCTATAATGAAGATCTTCTACTGAAATTTCTCCAAATGCCATCCTTTTTTCTGATATAGAAGGTATACTGGCCAAAACTCTATTCTGAACACAGCCTTCTCTCTCAAAACATCTATCATGTACTCTGCCTGCATAAAATTAACTTCAGTGCATGAAAAGCATGCATTCTGAGCAGCCATTTTTGGATAATCTATAACGTGGAGTTTCATCGCTTTTTTTCAAGTCGGCCTTGCATGAGGAGTGACCCTTCTCATGGCCTGTGGGCACCACGAGCAGCCCTCAGCCCCACAGCCAACACCACCAGCTGAACCCCTCGCAGTTCCTGCTTTTTGAGCTCTTTACCCTCGTGTTTCTCTACTGCGACGTCTGAAACCAATCGTCATAGCAACAGGAGGCTGAGCCTTCATTTGCACGGCAGATCAGCGTCCTGATCAGCCGCTGTCGCCGGGGCCTGACCGCACTGCGCGGAGCCCGCTCCTGAGGGGACACCCGGCTGACACGGGAGCCGCGGGCTCAGCCCGAGCCCTGAGGGCACGGCCGGGTGACCCCCGGGTGACAGCGGAGCCGCGGGCTTAGCCCGAGCCCTGAGGCACGGCCGGGTGACACCCGGGTGACAGCGGAGCCGCGGGCTCAGCCCGAGCCCTGCCGGCGCTCCCCGCCTCCTCTGGTGCCGCTGGAGGAGCAGGAGCAGCTGCAGCAAAGCCGCCCTGCTCAGATTAGCGCTCCTGGGAAGGCTGCTGGTCCGGAGCTGTAAATAGACACACAGCTGATTAAAGCTACCATTAAGCAAGTGGTTAATTTGACTTACAATAGACTTCAAATAAGAGTTCCTTGAGGCAGGTGTTGGATGGGTGTTATGCTGCTGGTTTTTGGTGAGGAAAAGAATCCATTTTTGCCACAGTAGAAGGTATGAATAAGCAAAATTTTGTCCCCTGAGAAATCTGGAAGAAAAAAAAAGAAAAAGTAGTATTATATTAATCATTACACTTCTGCTATTTGAATAATAGTAACTGCCAAAACAGTCTTTACCTTTGACCTTAGAAGCCTAATGGATACTTCTCTTAATACAGATAAATTACCACATACAGTAATTTGCATTAAGAATGCAAAAATCTTGGGCAAAACCCAGACAATTAATAAAAAAATAATTACGATTGTACAAAAATATCCTTATGGCTCTCCTACATGAAAATGGCAACTTGCACTTGGAATTTCTTTTAAGAGTTCTTTGTCCTAAGACTCATCAAATACACGTTTGAGTTTTCTTCTTATAAGCTTCCAAAATCTGAAGCAACGAACTAATGAAGAGATACCCAGGAGAAGACTCAAGCAGGATAATCACTCATTTTGATGAAAATAAAAAGACAAGCACATGAAGAAAGAAGGAACCCCATTTTGGGGGGTATATTTATTTTTGAAAGATACAGCAGTTCCCTTTCCATATAATCTACTCCCATCTCCTAAGAATAAAGCCTGCTGCTTGCAAATACATAATCCCATTACTATAAGCTTCACCTTATCATTCTAAAAGGCATTTACAATCAGTTTTATTGTTTCTGGGTTTTTAATCCATTTACAAAACACATACAGTTGTAACTGGGCACAACCCCACTAAAATCAGGATTTAACAGCGCAAATCATTTTATGGTGGAAAACATTCCTCCTGATAATGCTTTTTAAACAGGCAAAACTATAACAAGGTCCACAATTCTCAAGAATTTTTGATAATCAGGATATGAAAACAGAACATAACATTATTTCTTGGTATTTCCTAAAACACAAGTAACCAAATCTCATTAGATAATTGTTCCTATGTAAAAACTCCCAAAAGTCTGTGTGACAGCAACTGTAACATGAGCTAAGTACCTCAATTAACAAGTGTTGACTTACCCAACTCTAATTCAGGTGCATGTGAACTAACACAGTGGAGTTAATAAGAGTCCTACCTTCTTTTTTTTCTTCATGACATTTTCATGCAAGAGCCATAAATATGACCAAAGTATTATCCTCAATTCTTTGTTGGAACTCACTTATGGATGTAGCACACCACAGATACCCTCACACTGAAGCAGATTATTTCAAAGTTCGTAACAGCATAAAAAGCTTAATTTCGTACATTGCAAAGGAAATGCAGTCAAACCACATTCGCCTGTGACCCTCTCTTTATCACCCTCAGGGAACTTAAAAATAACTGTAAAAACCTCAACTTACAGAAGCAACTTTTAATAACTCTTAGCACTTTCAAGGGTACTTGGACTTCAGGGGATAGAAATAATCATCAAGTGTGAATATGCCCCCACATTTCCAGCTATACAATATTAACAACTGAAATATCTACACTATGAAACTCCTGTTAACTTCAGGAAATATCTAAAAACTCTGATATCCAGCCCTCAAAACCAAATGATGATGCTTCTCCTTCTAAAGAGATGTAACTTTCATCATTGCTCTGGAAATAAACAAGCAAAGTCTATTCCTTTTTTTTCAACACATATTAACAAACAATGATCAAAATGTTTTTATAGCTTTGTTCAACACAGCTGCTGCACAGAGTAATAAACACTTTCCAAAAAAGTTGAAAGTTGACTCAACTTATGTGCTTGCAGTAATTTTTTTTTATTATATCACAATTTACCATTTAAACTAAAATAAAATTATTTTATTTAGCTTGCAGTTGCAAATAAGTTATCTAAAATATTACCCTGGATACTGTAATGGTCAGGGCATTACAAGGACATGCACATAGCTCAGCCCTTTTCAGCCTCTCTCACATGTGCACTGGAGCTTCAGGAGTTTAAGGTCAACCCTAAATACTGCTTACTCTGCTGTATTCCCCTGTACAGTGGGCCAAGAAATTGAAGAATTCTCCCTGTATGACTCCAACTTGGTCTGTGACAAACTACATAAAAGCTCAGAATAAAATTATCATGAGATATGAAAAGGTTCAGGATGGAATTTCAGTTGCAATTCTTTCATCATTCTGAGCACAAATTTTGAATTTATCTTTTTAGCTTTGCATGGCCCCTGCAACAGCTTCTGTGTGAAGTTAGCAAAGGAAATGAAGCACAGACTGAAGATGCTACATACGTATTGCAAACCAAAGAACTCCGCCTAGAACAGGTCTTTTGAAGGTAAGAGTCTGAGACAGAATCAGCTGAGGCCAGAGATCAGAGATGTTCTTTATTAAGAATGAATATCCACATTAACTCTCATTTCCCCTTTTTTTTATCTGACATTTCAAAGCAGTCACTAACAAAGAGCTGAAGAAGCTTCCTCCACTCAGTTTCTAGAAACACCTCAATTCTCTCCCAAGACTCTCATGCACTGCTTGTTCTGAACTCAAAAGGGGGTTCCATTCTCCACTTCTGTTTCTGACACAGGACTCAAATACTTCCCACAATTTTCTCAGCAGCTCAGGGTCAGCTGCACAGTGCTGAAAACCCCTGCCAATGCTCTGCTGAATGTGGATCAGCATCTCCCCAAGCACGAGCACATCTCACATGTGTGCTTGCTTCCATTATTTCTGTTACATACATGCACACTGAAGCAGCTGTAAGTCCAGACATAAATCACCTTCTTCAGCATCAGCTTTGTGCTTTGATTCTGTCAAGACTTGGCTTCTTCAGTGCAAGTTCTACATCCAGTACAAGGCCTTGCCCACTTCTCATTGGTTCTTTGCAATTATTTAATTTAGCTCAAGCAACATATGAGGGAAAAGTTATCCCTAATAATAGGGAAGCAGTAACATTCAAGAAATAATAACAAGACCACCAGCAGGAAGGGGCTTCCACCAGACAGCCACTGTTGGTACTGGTCTTCTTAAAGACAAAGGACAAGTACCAAAGAAATGATAATTCTATTCTAGCTATGGAACTGTGTCTGTGTCCTGCAGATGTCTGCGTTGAAAACTATGGGGGGGAAGGATGCAAAATTTGACACACAGCATCTGTCTGCAGCTCAGCTACAGCAGATTCATGACTAGCTAATGTTTCATGTTCTTGCAGATCTGCGACAGTTGTCATTCCCCAGAGTAAGGCAGCACCTCAATGATCTACCTTTTCAAAGACAAGTTCTTGAGCACAGGCTGAAGTGCTGGCACAAACTCAGGTTGGTTTTTTTTCTGAACTTTCATCATTTGAAATCTCTTTATAATCACTGCATGAGAAACACCTATTGCTTTATCTATGTCCTAAGTCTGTAGAGTCTGTCACAAGTTACTGATGAAGAAAAGGCTTTCTCCTCCTGCTAGAAAAGTCTTACTGTGACCAGTGTTCTTGCATGTGAACACATTTCTCCCCTTCCCAGCTTATGCCAGTTTGACTCAGAAAATGTGTGCAGTGGATTGAGCTGACAGGGATATGAAGGCAGAAGCTTAAAGGACATCAAAAGTGTTAGCAGAATGAGCTCTGTATAAATAGTCTTACTGATACAAGTCTCCAAGCATCCTTTATCTTCTTGTACACAGAGATTAGAGGAAAGCTCAAATGCTTAATTGTATGTCAAGTGCACAGTCAGCGAATAAGGGTTCAGTATAGTCTTTAAAAATGGAGTCTGCAACACATCCATGCCTTTATGGAGACAATTCAGCTGGTGTTTTAAACACAAGGCTTGACTGTCTGTTACTCTGCACGTGACATTGTTCCTCACATCAAGGCAAAACGCATACTGGTGATTTTTCCACATTCCTCTTAAAAATACTGATCCTCTCAATTGGTCCATCCCACAGCTTCAGTGACAGACTGATGAGAAAGTTCTCTCTCTTACAAGTACCCTAAAAATAGCAGCAGGATTGAACTTCTGAAATTCAGATTATGTACAAAAAGCAAGTCCTTTTAAGTCCTTAGGTGCGTGTAAGTTAGAAAGAAAAGCAAGCTATGAGCAGGCATTTGTGAAATGTGCTGGAATTCAGCAGAAGCTGGAATATCAGCCCGGTGTGTGCTGAGCTAAATGAGCCCCAGCAGGGAAGAACACACACATCATGCAGCAAAACAGAACTGGGTAATTTCCCCCCAACCCTGAGACTCCCACCCTTATTTCTGCGAAACATCATGTTCCTCAGTTACTGCATTCAGTTTAGAAATGAAACTAAGAAGAATAGAAGACTTAATTCCTTTTTATCCTAAAAAAAGCCTATCATTTAATATCATCTCCAAGATTTTAAAACAGCTAGAGATACAAATGAGGAAATAAAGATTTGAGACATGGCATCTAGAATGATTCATTTCACAACATTTTGAAGATTTATAAAATAAGTAGAGCAACTGTGTGTTTCACTTAGACTACATAAGTAATTGAAAAGTCCTGCAGTAGGAAAGTCATTCAGTGAAATGAATGTGAAATTACCTAGTATTAAGAATGGTTGTTCATCAAAAATTAAAAAAAAACCTGCCCTAAAGAGTCACTTAGACTACATAAGTAATTGAAAAGTCCTGCAGTAGGAAAATTTAAAAAAAACCTGCCCTAAAGAGTAAAAAAAAAAAATTAAAAAAAAATCCCTCTTTCATTTAGTCAAATCAATTTGGTAACACAGACTTCGTTCCCAAAAAAAAAAAAACCAAAAAAAAAAAAAAAAAAACAAACAAACAAAGAAAAACCAAAAAAAAACCAACAAAAAAAACTCCCAAACCTCTTTCATTTAGCCAAATCAATTTGGTAACACAGACTTCATTTTCTCCAGCCATAAATAAGCTGTAACTACCTCTACAGTTATGATTTTTCCTGTAATTCAGGCAATATGCAATATGAAAAATAAAAATTAACAGGAAATACTCAGGCTAAACAAGGAGAACTAAAAGCTGATGAATCAAGGGAAGTGTTATAAGGAGCATGCACCAGAATTGTACACACAAAAAAAGCAACAGCAACTAACAGATATTCCAAGTTTGATGTTAAAATAGCCTAATTTCTGACCAAGTTCAACAGGATTAATGGATATTCAGCA